CCTCAGGGCGGAGGGGGGGGCAGAGAGCTGCCGCAGGACTGGCGGGGGGGGGAAGGGAGAAGTTTCACCTAGGGCGCAAACCGTCCTTGCCCTGGCCCTGTGGGTCGGAGATTGCTTCAGCTAATTCCTTAAGTAACCTAGGATGAATTTCATCAGGCCTTGCCAACTTGAATACATCTAACTTATCTAAATATTCTTGAACCTGTTCTTTTCCTATATGGGTTTGCGTTCCTTCCCTTGTGTTGTTAATATTAATTGTGTTGAGTATCCTGGTCAGGACACCATTAACCTTTTTACTGAAGACTGAATCAAAATAGGCATTAAACACCTCAACCTGCTAGATGTCATCAGATATTAGCTCTCCTTCCCCACTAAGTAGAAGACCTATGTTTCCTTTGTCTTTCTCTTGTTCTTAATGTATTTATAGAATCTATTCTTATTGTCTTTTATGTCCCTTGCTAGGTGTAACTCATTTTGTGCCTTAGCCTTTCTGACTTTGTCCTTACATTCATAGAGTCCTGATTTCTAAGGCCAGATAGAACTATTATGATCATCGAGTGTGACCTCCAGAAAATGTGAATTGTCTGTTAACAAAAGTATTTGCTCTTGTTCGTTTAAGGTGAATTTGGAGAAGTATGCAGTGGACGTCTGAAGACCCCAGGAAAAAGGGAGATTCCTGTTGCCATTAAAACTTTGAAAGGTGGCTATGTGGACAGGCAGAGAAGAGATTTCCTGAGAGAGGCTAGTATCATGGGACAATTTGACCACCCAAATATTATTCGCCTCGAAGGAGTTGTTACAAAAAGTAAGTTATTAATCTATTTTATTTCTTCCCTGTTGTGCCCCTGGTTTGGTATCAAAATTAAAGGCATCTTTCATGTTAAAAATAAATGTGATTGCATTCCACAATAATGACCCAAACCACCGGTGTATGGAAGTTACTATAAACTTTGGGGCCAGTATTTTAGAATAGTGTAGGATATGTGTTTTTAATAAGGGATGCTACATCTCTGTAAAAATCCACCTCATTCAAATAATACCTTTAGAGGTTAATATGAAATAGGATTGCAGTGTTATCTACTGGAAAATTGAATACAAGAGAGGAATCTAGATTCCCAAATATTGTGAACATGAAGGTAAATTACCTTGCAGAGATAGGAAAGTGGTAGCTATATTCTTTGTTTCCCACAGCCACCCACTTTCTATCATTCTATAGTGTTACACTGATATTAGTATCTGAATGAACTCATTTCCTATTTACAAGAAAGTAAAAGTTTAAACACTTTGTTAAAAAAATTGTTGTACACTTGCAAAGCCTTCAGGAAAACGTTATGAAGAAAAACAAATACAGTTCATTCCCTATTTTTAATTTAGAATAATCTATTAAACGTCTTCATCTTTATTCCTATTCACAAGAAGCAAAAAAACCAACCAAACAAAAAACACCTCACTGTTCCAGCAATACCCCGATCATCTTCATCTATATTTTTGTTAGGTTAAGAAACTTTCTAAAGAACTAAAATGCACAGTGACTATTTAAGTCTGAGATGAAAGTCCTATTAACATGCATGAAATTTATTCATCGCAAACTTTTGGTAACAACGAATTCCAAGCCTCAGGAGGCATGATATTCTCATCATGAAATCCTTGCTATAACCAACTCATGATGTTTGCTGATTTGCTTCCTTCTGTTTATTTCTCTCTTAAAGTGGATTTAGACTTTATGAAAGGTAATGACTGATAGTATAAAGGAGTGAAGTCCCTTTGTCTGGACAGCAAATACAACATAGGCAGTGCAAGCTTTTCTGTTATCACCCTTCAAATTGTCTAATGCTAGACTTGGGAGACACTATGTACTAGAAGTAAGATGGCAGGCTGATTTTCTGTGGTTAAGGCACTGAACTAGAACTGCCACAGACTCACTCTGGGACCTTGGGCAAGTCAATCTCTCTGTGCCTTGGCTCAAAATCTGTACAATGTGGATAATAATGCTTCCCTTCCTCACAATGGCATTGCAATGATAAATTCATTAATGTTTATGAGGTGCTCAGATACAGTGATGAGGACCATATGCTGTAAACTTCCAGATCAGTATAGTTTGATCTTCATTATTGTTCAATCATTGATCACTCTGCTGAAACTAGCAAGGTTGCCAATTCATGCCAGGTAAGATACCATTGAGAGGGACAAACATGGTTATGAGAGATATGGAAATCTGTAGGATCTTAATTGAAAGCAGCTGCTTGTTTCGTGTACCCTGGTGGACAGCCATCCGATAGCAATAATCACTTTCAATCTTTACCAACCTGGTCTGTTTATGAATGAATGTCATAGAAATAACTTGACTCCGTATCCCATTACTCATTAGCTGATTCAACAGTGTAACTTAATATGTCTTATTTCTGAAAGAAGCTAGGGATTGTGATTCACAGTAGTTGTTTACATTCAGTTACATGTTGCATACCTAATAGAATAGAATATACTTCGTGTTTAATCTTTGCCACACTTCTAAATTATCTTATTTATAATATGTTGTCAACCATTCTAGTGAGAAGTGGGGCAGGAGTTAGAAACAATGAAATCAGTGCAAGTCTTTGTTCCTAGCACTGGACAGGCAAATTTGGGTCTTACATCACCTTAAATCAATAAGATAATTAGCACTTGTTCTTTCCACTAAGGACTGCAGATACCTTAATATTGCTTTTAGAATATTTGCCTAAAGGTGATATAGGAGTGTGTGTTCCTGTGGTTTATAGTTACACAAAAATGTATTGCTGTCAGATTATAATAAAAATCTAGCATTTTGATCGTTAAAAAAACAACTATGTGGGATGCAACAGGATTAATTCTAGCACTGTTTTATTGGTGCGGTTGGGACTATATTGTCAACAAATTTCACTTTAAATGCTAGACTGTGCAATTTGCACATAGCATGAAGTAAGGAGCTGTGTAGAGCTGACCTACTCTGAAAGACATGCCAGGAGGGGTTCCAAGTTCCCTGGAAACCAGAGGGAGCATGCACTCTGCTGCAGTCCTTCTGCTTCCCAGCATGTGGTGGTGGTGTAGCCATGGCTCCATCTTCTCCCCTCACTGCCTCCTTTGGGACACCATATGCCCAGGTGGGTAGTTTGCATGTAGTCCCTGCACTTTCTTGAGAGCGCAGAGTCTGCAATTCTGCCAACACAAGCCAAGAAGGAAGGGAGGTTTCTTACTCCCACTGTGAACCCCTAGAAGGGTCAGGCAGAATTTGTCCCTAGATGCCTTGTTTGTTGATAAAATGATTTACAAGGTGCTTTGTCTTAAGAGGTAGACTGATAACAGCAGAAACTGTTTATCTGATATGCATCTCCATTGCACTAAGCTGTAGAGATACATCTGATTAGGGTTACCATAATCCAGCAAGCAAAAAAGAGGACGGGAAGAGCCCCGCCCCTGTCCTGTCCTAACCCCGCCCCATCCT